CAGAGAGGTATAATATTACAACTCTGCTTCTGCATCCCAACTCTGCATAGTCATATATTGGAGTGTTAATGAATTCAACCATATTTCTTGAACTAAGAGCTTCTCCATGCAAAGGTGGGGTGGAAACCTGGTCTCGTAACGAGACCAGGTTTCCCAGAAACTCTATCAAATATCTATTAACAGGGCTGCACATAAGTGGTCCGCAGGTGCGCATTCGCTGTCAAAATAAAAGACGCGCACCAGATAAGAAGTTGCAACGCTGTTTGTGTACATACAATTTTATGGAGGAGGACAGACATTTGTTTAGAACTTTTAAAGATGTCGAAAAAGCAAGCTCCTTTAAGAAATTACTTTGGTGTTCCTCCAACTCTAAAGAAATGTCAGAAGGAGTCTGAAATGCAAAAGAAGCGGTATATGTACGCAAATGCACTTTGCAACTTCTTATCTGGTGCGCGTCTTTTATTTTGACAGCGAATGCGCACCTGCGGCCCCTGTAGCAGTTTCAAATTTGTTTCATTGTCACCTGATCTTGACCCAGGAATATAATAAACTATGATTGCTGGAGTGTCCAAATTCACATTTTTAAAAACAGAGTCACCAATATGCAAGAATAAATTGAAAAATTTAGAATTTAGAATTCAATAAGGTTTTTGTTTATGCCATGATATAATACAGATTTTAAATTTACATCCATGAAAAAGGCTGAATCCTGACCTCAGTTTTTTGACAGGACAATCTGGACTCTTTAATCCAGCAGACAGAAGTTTTACTCCTGCATCGTGCAGGTCATTGTTACTTAGGTCCAGTTCCATCACAGTAGAGGTATGGGAGATGAGAAAAGGGCACAGAGCATCACAGCTTCTCTCTGAGAGATTACAGCCAGACAATCTGAAAATCAATTATATTTGTGATTAAAATAAATTACCTTTTGTTTCAACCTACTACGGGATAAACAAATATTTCCATGTGGACGTAATTAATATAAATACACCTTCAAATTCAAGTCTGGAAATAATATATAGATGATATTTTTTAATTTGCTTAACAAAACAATTATACCTCTATATCTAGATGTGCAACATTTAGTAAAAGACCAGTATCCTCTGCCACAGGTATACATAATTTTCAAATTACAAATA